GGTGCCATAAGGGGCAGGGGGACTCTCGCGGTGCCATAAGGGGCAGGATGACTCTCGCGGTGCCATAAGGGGCAGGGTGACCAAGCTGGATTGCTCGGTTCGATACCAGGTTCAAAAGAAAAACTAACTTACAGATCACATGGAATTCCTCAAACCGATCCTCAAGAGAATATATATTATCTATGTCACAGAAAAGACTAGTCCTCGTCTATCTGTAAGTTCTCGTCTCTGTGCGTGGGCAAATCCCCCAGAGGTAGCACTGCATCTGAAGACACTGTGGCTTTGTAAACCATTAGAACTTAACAGAGTCCACAGTCCATTCTCAGCCACCCTGGCCTCCTCTGAGCTTTGTGGACATACTCCAACCCAAAAGGAAACCCTAAGAAATTCCACCACCAGAAATCACCTCCAAGAATGTCTGCTTTAGGAGAGAAAAATGTGGTGCCTTTTGAGATCCAGAATGACATTATTAGACTGATGGCTGCACTTTGCAAATGACAAGCTAAGTGACACTAGGCAAAGCATTTAGACTTTGTGTGTCTTGGGTCCATCATCTATAAAAGTGAGGTAATACCTACAGATGGTTTATGAATATTCAATCATAAAATGTACAATCACGATGTATATGAAAGCACCAGGAAAGCCAAACATATACAAAACCCACACCAGTAGTGTCCAATCTCTTCTGTTGCCCAACTTTTGCTGTATGGGTACATGAAGCTACTCTATGAGGTTATCCTATCAGTGTACTTGTCATTTTAGGGTAAATACATACAATGGCCTCTGTATTACAGAGTTTTGGCAATGCCTAGATCAAGAATGGCTTCTGGATCTTCAAGAAGGTAAGGTGTAGTCTGCATTTATTATTAAGTGGGGCTAGTCAGAAATGGCTGGGAAGTTAATAAAGGCAAATATAGAGCATTAGGGCATGTTGTGCGTCACTGCATTAAAAAGAACCCAAGGGGCGCCTGGGTGGCTCAGTCGTTAAGTGTCTGCCTTCAGCTCAGGTCATGATCCCAGGGTCCTGGGTTCAAGCCCCACAAGGGGCTCCCTGCTCAGCGGGGAGCCTTGCTTCTCCCTCTCCCACTCCCCCTGCTTGTGTTCCCTCCCTCGCTGTGTCTCTCTCTGTCAAATAAATAAAATCTTTAAAAAAAAAAAAAAAAAGAACCCAACGAAGCTACAGAAGAGTGCATTTTCCAAAATGAGAACTCCAGAAGACAAACAGTCAAAGGAAGTCAAAAGAAGAAATGCAAACAGTAAATCTATGGAGACTACTCAATATTATTAATAATTAGGAAAATTCAAATTAAGATAAAATAACAATTTGCACATCAAATTGGCAAAAGGTATCAGAATAAAAATACCTAGCATTTAGTAAGAAAACAGGAACTGTCAGACTGCTGGTGAGTGTATCAATGGGTAGAACTTTGCTGCAGTGCAATTTGGGAATATAGAGCAAAAGCCTCAAAACCGTACATCTCCTTTAACTCAGCAAATTTTACTTCTAAGAATTTATTCTCATAACCAGAGATATGCAACAGAAGATTTACAGAATTGATCCAATAAAGCATTACTTATAATATTGAAACAAAGGGTGCCAACTGAATGAATGCTCAGTAATAAAAGACTGATAAAAATTACAGGTTGTTGTTTTTTTAATAAAATGGAATCTTGGGTAGGAAGAAGCCATTATACAATGCTGAAGAAGATTTTTACTATAAAGTGTTTCTATTAGCTAAAAACGAAAAATGGTAATTATAAGACCATGTAGGTAATTATAGATCAATCTGGTGGAAAGGAAAACCTGTGCTTCTCGTGAATGCATCTGCATGTAACAAGAAGGGAACGTATCACAATTGCTCCCATGGCTGCCTGTGGGTGGTAGGGTTCAGGACGACTATCATTCACTACCTCCTGCTTTTCTACACTTTCCATATTACAGAGATAATCAGGAAAAAACAATAAATTTTACAGCTTTCTAGAGGACAGCCATCACTCACTGCAAACAGCACATGCCCCCTCCCCACCCGCTTCCCTCTGGCATGTCTCCAATGGATAACACACACAGATGATTCTCTCTCCATCTTCTCTTTATCTTCAGACAGCAAAATGCCCTCAGGTTGAACTCGTGCCTCCTACCCTTTGTTTCCTCTGAAGGAACACACAACCCAATTTAAGGGTCACAATAAATGCAACCTTCCCAGACTGCTAAGAGTAATTTCCACACTTCACCAAGCCACCCAACCTCCCAACTCCTGCTTCTTTGCTCATCCTGCCAAAGAATGATTTCCATAGAAGGACTCACAGAATACATAGTCAAAAACACATGTCAATGCATCTTTAAGATGCTGTCCTTTAAGGATATAAAATTATGCTAAGGAATCAAATATGCCAGAAAACACTGAGATAATGACCCTTCTCTGGCCGACCCATGAAAGGGACTGCATAAGGTACGCGGCTGGAGCAGCACACGCCCTGTCTACCGGCACTTTCTCCATTAATTATGACTCTCTGCCTTCAAGGCATGGGCTGGACTTGCCACAGACAGGAAGCTGAAGGCTTTCCAGTGACACCTACCCCCCGAGTACAGTTAATTTTACATGCAACACTCAGCAAGTCTGAGGAGTCCCTCAAGGCATAATCATCAATGGCAAAGTGACAGCAGCAGCTTCCCATCACAAAAATTCTCAGGTGAAAAACAAGTTTCCATCTCATGAGAAAACTGGCATAAAAAAAAAAAAAAAGGATCCAGGAACTATGACTGCTAAGTCTCAAGTAGTGGCTGGGAGGACAAGCAGAGATATCAGAGGGGAAGGCGTACAGGAGGAGGGGCTAGTGGCTGGGAGGAGAAGCAGAGATATCAGAGGGAAGGCGTACAGGAGGAAGGGCTAGTGGCTGGGAGGACAAGCAGAGATATCAGAGGGAAGGCGTACAGGAGGAAGGGCTAGTGGCTGGGAGGACAAGCAGAGATATCAGAGGGGAAGGCGTACAGGAGGAAGGGCTAGTGGCTGGGAGGGCAAGCAGAGATATCAGAGGGAAGGCGTACAGGAGGAAGGGCGGGAGAAGCCACGGGACCCCACGACCGTGAGACACCTCAGTAGAGTCCAGCCTCCGAGAAGAGGAAGCGGAGGACCCTTATAGTCCAATTCCTGTGGACTTGGATCACAGCTACAGCAGAGCCAGGACTAAGAGGTCAAAAACTCTGGATGGGGTTTCTCTAAGAAGGCTACTTATTAGGAGTCGAAAGAATTCATTTCAAATATGGAAATGGACCTTACACATTGCATAGTATTTTGGTTTTATGTCCCCCATAATATCAACCTTGAGAGATATAAAAGTGTGTCTGAAGGGGTGATTTCCCTTTCCTATTCAATCCTCTCCCATACCGAATGATGCACAGCATTGACTGGACCCCCTTAATCTGGCACCTAATCAAACATTATGTTGAAATGCTATGTAATTCATGCATGAAAGTGTGTCCTCCCAGACACATCATAAAGTCTCGAAATTCATGATTTCTCTCTTTACTTTTTCTACCATCTCCCTAAACGTCAACTATTGTATTGTGCAGACAGTAGGTACTTAATAGATATTCGGGTGGATGGATGGACAGACAAAACAGATGGTAAAGCAGCCTGGGGACACTGCAACACATACCCTGAAAAACAAGCAGGTAAGAGACGTACATGGCACATCCCAATTCTCTAGCCAGGACAGGGCCAGCCTCGCCAAACTGCCGCATTTACACACTGGGCTTTCATCACGAAGGCCCAAGAGTCTCAAAGTGGGCATTAACTACACTTACAGTATAAGACAGCAGGTAGGAAACCATTCTTCCCAATTAAGAGGATATTACAACACATACTTCGTTTTTATACACATTCCCCTACAAAGCTCAAATTGAAAGAGTTGCTGGAGTGAGTATATGTGTGTGTGTGTACGTGTATGTGGGGGGTGTGTGTGTATGCATGTGTTCAGAAAGGGAAGGGAAAACATACGTGGGGTGTGATTATACCATAAGAAGGGAGAAAAAAAAAAGTAACATGAGACCTGGTATCTGAAGGAGGTATATTCAGGTTGGCAGCATTCATTGCCCTCTGTAAGCTAGGACTGATCTGGTTGCATGCTGTAGAGACCTGGCTTGCTGGAGGTGAATTGGGTCCCAGTCGCTGAACCATCATGGGACTGCTGGTGACCACTAGATTGTTGCAGCTGCCTTTTCCAATGGACTTGCACTGAGGCCCAAAGCCAAGAGCCCCTAAAAACAAATGAATCAGGTTAGCTTTCATGTCCCTTACATCAAAAATCAGTAAATACACACATCTGCCCACTTCTATCAGGACTCCTCTTTTAAGACAGTCCTTGGATCACCTTTCTGTTCATTTTTAGTATTAGTGATACCAAAAGCTTTCTGGTATTTCCAATGAAAAAGCCATTGCTACAATACAAACCCTTCGATAATCACCATTCATACAAAATGAGCTTACATTTTGCTCCTTCTATGTAGAAGTACCCAGTTATTAAGAATCATATTTTATCATCTCCCTACCCAAAGGGTCAAGGTGGTAAGTAGATGGGATTACTTATATCTAGAAGTTTCTTCTAGAATAGCTAATATCTTGAATTGCCCAACAAGGAAAGTTGACACGGCCAAACAACACTTATTTAACTGGTTTACTTCCTTCCAGTTCTGGCCTCCCAAAAAGTCTCCTTAAAGGGATATAGTCTGGCTTTGTCTCTCCAATCTTGATTTCTCCTCTTCATCCCAGTACATTGTTATTGGACATAGACCCAAGTAAAAAAAAAAAAAAAATCAGGATGAAAGAGCCATAAACAAAACACTCATTCTAAAAGCAGCATGGTAACCAAATTCAACATAGATTTACCATTTCATTAGTAACAATCTTCAAATGTAGTAAAATGTGGTATATACCCAAAGGAAGAAGAAAAAAAAAAAAAAGAAACCCACAAAAATCTGTGTCATTATGGAGAAATGAAAAGCATAGAAGAGAAAGTCAAACACAGCTATGACTCATTTATAAAAAAATAATAATACCGGTTGAATCATTCTAGACATTCTTTTCACATGGATGTACTTTTTCAAACATTTTTTGCAAACTACCTGGTCAAGTCTCAGTGACTGTACACTGTGTTCCCATTTCAAACAAAAATAAATATGATGTCAGATTTTAACAATTTAGTCTCTAAAATTTTCTCACCAAATTCCCTATTTCTCATTGAAATAGTTGGGATCAAAGTAAGTGGAAAATCATCACAGTAACTTTTCTTAGCCCTAGGGGACATAATTTCCTATTTTGTTTTTCCAGATATTAAATCAATAACCAAAAAAATGACTTTGTCATCTTTTGTAACATTCTCTTCCAGGAGCCCACAGAACTGAAGGATAAACAAGACCTAAGAGCAATCACCATGCTCTCATCAATGAAACCACATCTCAAAAATGCTGAGAGAGTTGCAGTGTTTTTAGCTGGCAGGAACCTGCTTTGTAGTCCAGCCCTCTGGGAAATCCCAGTGGTAATTCACTTGCCCAAGGCCACACGGGGACTTAAGGACAACGCAGAAATGGATTACACTATGGTGTATTTTCATGGCGCCTGTGTGTTTAAGTTTAGGTACTGGATGCTTAGTTTCTTCCTTGTATATTTGCCAAGATCATTAGCTCCAACAGAAATTTCTCTCCAATTTTTTTTTTCAGACACATAAACCAGAACCTTTCCCTTGTTCCCTCCCACTGCCACCTCTATCTGATGCATCTTCTTGTGCCTTGAAAGACCAATCATAGGTAGTCTCTCTGATTTCATAATGCATAGAAGACTGTACCTTCAGGGCTCCATCTTGCCACCAAAAGTAGTGGGTACATTTTTACACGATGATCATAAATTTAGTATCTTTTAAATTCCAACAAGCCACATGCCATTTGCTTTTCAAACGCCCTCTTTTAACTCGGAAAGAGGCAATGTGATGGTTCAGAACCTGGTCCAATATGTGACCCTTGAATTGCCTCCCCAGGTTCCATCACTACTAGCCATGCTATGAAAAGCAACATCAGATGTCAGGTACTCTGTTAAATTCAATATCATCTATTCATCTGTCATTTAATGCCTGATTCCTTCCCAGTAAAAAGGTACTAATAGTCTACCTTTAAAGCAAATACATATTAACAGCTGGTATAGCACAACCAAAAAATACCACTTGATGACAAAGCATACTGATGCTTTCTTCATCTTAGCTAAGGTGCCATGTATTATAAGCCACGGTATTATTTTACGTGCCGGTAAGAACGTGCACTGCCAATAAACCTAGTGCGTGGTATCAAGATTTCAGAGATATTCTGACGCAGAAATAGGCACACCTTAGAATCAATAAATACAAATATGATTACTGAAGCTTTTCACTTAGCCCTTGTCTGGTTCATGCTCTCCTCTCTGCCCGGCACAGCCTTACCTTCGCTTGTCCACCTACTGAGCACCTCTCCATCTTCATGCCCTCCACTCCAAGGTCCCTCCTCTCCAACGGCCCCTCCCCCACTGCCAACTGGGCAGATGTGGCCAGGTCTTCTTTCTATCCCCCCCCCACCGCCCATCTCTCATAACACATCTGCCGCAGCACCTTTACGGAACTGTCATGTTGACACGCCTGTCACATCCTCTTCTTTTATACTTATTGCTTTGGAAGACAAAGACCTTGCTTGAGGCAGCTCTGCTTCCTCGGCACCTAGCCTAGGGCCTGTACCGCGTACACACCGAGGTCTGTCAATGGAGTTAAGAATGAACGAATGTGGACACGGAGAACAGATTAGCGGTTCCAGGGAGAGGGGCGGTGAAGGGGACGTAGGGTTCCCAGTTATAACATAAGTTAAGTCCTGGGTGTGTAATGGGCAGCACAGTGACCATAGTTAATAATACCATACTGCAGGGCGCCTGGGTGGCTCAGTCGTTGAGCGTCTGCCTTCGGCTCATGATCCCGGGGTCCTGGGATCAAGTCCCACATCGGGCTCCCTGCTCGGCGGGGAGCCTGCTTCTCCCTCTCCCACTCCCCCTGCTTGTGTTCCTGCTCTCACTGTCTCTCTCTGTCAAATAAATAAATAAAATCTTTAAAAAAATAATAATAATACCATACTGCATATTGAAAGTTGTTCAGGGAGTAAATCTGAAAAGTCCTCATCACAAGAAAGAAAAGGAAAACAATGTGTGTAACTATGTGTGGAGATGGATCATTTCACAGTGCCTATAAATAGTGAATCACTATGTTGCACACCTGAAGCTAATAGAATGTTACATGTCACTTATACCTCAATGAACAAAAATTTTAATGAATGAATGAAAAGACAGTTGTACATGAATATTAAATGCTCACACATTATTTCCACTGAAACCCTCCTGGTTAGCTTTTTTAAAACAACAGTGCAGGTTTTCAAAAACAAACGCCAACTAAGTCAATCCCTTGACACCTCTCCTCAGTACTGCGAACTAGGTCAGAACTGAAGATGAAGCCCGTGGGGATCACAGTGATAAGCCTGTCTTCCTGGGCGAGAATTTTACACTGGCCAAGGCTGCCTTTGTAACTCTCTAGCCTGGATTCAGACCTTCTTCCCACTCCGTCTTACAGTGACATGGACCCTCTCCTTGACAGTGCCCCCATCGCGTTGGCTACACCACCTCCTACTCCCAAATTCACTGGCCTCCTCTAACCACAGAGGAATGACAGCTCTTGAAAGGTATCATAAATAGCACCCTGAAGCATGAGGGTGAACAGTAAATTTATGGGAAACAAGTAATGCCTGAGGCACAGCTGTAAGAATGTTCTGGAAAATGGCATCGTCTGTCTCACAAGTGGAGGCAAATAATAGCTTGACCACGACCCGGTGCTCAATGCAACCATCCCACTCAAATGTTGTTTTCATAGTGTCAAACGTAACGACCACTAGACGGCTCGGAACCACGCTGTGCTCTGGGGTCTGGGCTCTGAGCTCTGGAGACAGCCTGACTTGGGGCCACCCCCCTCCACCCACGCTGGTCCTGTGACTTGGGCAATTACTGAAGCATCCGTGTGCCTTCTGACCTGTTAAACAGGAATAAAAATAATACTATCTCTTAAGATTGTTGCACATCTCGTATTGATTACACAGGACTCTGCACACCTTCCAGCATATACTAGGTATTCAACAGATGTCAGATGTTATTGTCATGACTCTTACTATTACTGCTCACGCCCTCACTGCTTTTTTGTTCCACTCTCTTTCTTGAAGAAAACAGTTCCTTATAATTCTATGCACAAAACAAGAGAGTAAATGATGCTATTTAATTCTCTACCCACTTCCAATATTCTCTCTGCTTTAAGGCTCGAGCCAACTTTTTTAAAACCAGGTGTCACCACAGAAAGAAGAAAAGTTTTCAACTGGCCAAGTTTGAATGTTCCTTGGCTTGTCATTCCCTGAAAACAAACCATACAGCTTTTCTGTCTACCAGATGTGCCAACTACTTGTGTGCTGGTTTTCGTTTTGAAATACTGCTTATTTTTAGACACCGCACGATGTTTTTTAAAAATGTGTTTACTGCTCAAATAAGGATCCGAGTAGATGGTCTTCTGAGTACTACGTACATTCTAGCCAAGATCGCTGCGTGCTGGTGGGGAGTGCAAATGTACTGCATTTCTGAGTTTCTGAACTGAAAGGTCATCCTAGCAGGGGCATGTTTTTAATTAACATCTTCATTAGTTAAAAGGGTTCTCTTGAAGTCAAATAGTTGATTGTGTCACAATTACCCCTGCTGAGGCTATATCCCTCAGAAGGATTTGTGTTTACCCACTGGTTCCTCTAAAACTGACACAGATATGGAAGGGGGCAGAAATGGCATATATATGGCAGGGGGTTAGGGAGAACTAATCAAAGTTTCTTTGGTTGTTACTGTTGTTACTGTTCATTCAACTGACACTTCTCAAAGGCCAACCACAAGCCAGAGAGTCCCTGGAGACAGATGGACAGAGTCTCAGCCACCACGGAAACTTCATTCTGGCTACAAAGATGGACACCAAACCAACTGCTCATTACAGAAGAGGTGATCCCTGCTTCTAGGTTGGATCATAGGAGATGGCTTTCTTTGTAGGTCAATCATGATCGAATAAAAGCAATTCCTATATGGCTCAACCTAACACAAATGCAGGGTGTTATGGAGACAGAAACAATAATACACATCAGGATTTGAGCCCTGCCTCCCCAACTCACTGGCTGTGTGATAA